TGCCACTCTGCAGCTTGGTGCTGGATTGGGGGAAGAGAGCTGCTGTGTCCCTTTTTGCCTGGGGAAACAGGGAGGAGTCATGGAGAGAGGCCAGGAGCTCTGCCACCAACCTGCTGCCCAGCAGGTCTTTCCCCTTTCTTTCCCAGGTATTTCCCCTTTCTCCCAGTCTTTCCCCTTTCTCTGACTTTTTGAAGATGAAGGCCTTTTGCTTCTATCTGGCTTTTTGCTTTATCTGCTCTCAGAGTCTTATTTGGTGGCTTTAGGAACAACTGTCTTGCTTCTGTAGCTTAGATGTTGCTGAGAATCTCTTGTCCATCAAACCTAGTATGATTCTTGCTTATAAAACACAAATATACTTTACAAGATCTGCTGAGGCTTCACTGTGAAGCAGGAAGTGATGCTGTTTAGATTCAAGGTTTCTACCTTTATTTCAAAGTAGGAATTTTAGAGTTTTCTTTAGGAAAAATGTATTCCTGAACAAAGCCTGTATGGACGCCTCCCTGTTGGTGGCCATAGAAGTTTTTCTCAAGAATTTATTTATAATTTATTTAAGATATGCCAAATATAATGAAAAAATAGGAAGAGAAACTGTATTTTTGGTAGAGCCTTCCTCTTTAATGGCACTCCTTAGAACCAGAAAATGTCAGAACCTGTTTCTCCAGAACAAGACTGAGAAATGGGCTTTTTAGTTGCATGTTGTCTCCTCACCATCCCTGTTTCTTGTGGATACCCTCAGTACCCTCAGGCTCCACTAGCAGCATCCCTGCAGCAAATGTCTTGGTTCTTATACCTGGACCCTGTTCTATGTGCCAGAGCTCTCAGCACTGCTGTCACAACTGTGGAGCAGGAGTGTGCTGGGGCTCCTTTGTGGCCCTAGGTGCTGTCCCTCAGGTTTGGACCTTTCCTCTCTTCTTTGCCTTTGCTCCATTTGCCATATTGTTTGAATGACACCCAGATCATTGCAGGTATTTCTGTGCGTGGCTAAGATTGGTTGCGTGAGCAGTGCCTCAGAGACAGCTGAGGGTGGCCAGGGCAGGGACTGCACAAGCCAGAGTGCTGAGTCCAGGTGAGCCAGACCTCTTTGGGGCTCTCTTGCCAGAGCTGATCCACGTGCTACAGCTGCCGTGGGACCAGGAGCGCTTTGTCCTTTGGGCAGTGTCATGGGCACCGCAGGGACACCCTGCTCCCTGTGCTGGAGAGCATCCCTGGCTTTCCCCTTCCCTCTGTCCTGGCCATTCCAATGCCAGTGTGCAGTGGGAGGAGAGTTAGCAGTGTGCTGCAGCTGGGGACTGACCCCTCGGGAATGTTTGGCAATTACAGCTCTGCCCTGAGACAAGGCAATCTGGATCCTGCCACCAGCCCTGCAGGACCTGGGGGGTTGCAACCCTGCAGCCACAGACGCGGCTCGCACAGGGGGTGCCACAGCTACTGCTTCACAAAGCAGTGGAGGCTTGGCAGAGGCGTCTGTGCTGCTCCTAAGGCTGGGAGGGACACAGGTGGTGTGATGGGTGGTCTGTGCTCCCAGATCTGCTCCCCCACTGCCCCCTCTAGCCAGCAGCACCAGCCCTTGATCAGTGATGGGGAGTTAGGGAAGCCCTCACTGTCACTTCTGCAGGACCCGGTGACCATTCCCCACCTCCCAAAGGCATCACAGGCTCACTCTCTGGAGGGAGAAAAAGGTGCTCAAGAAGGGACCACCGAGTGCCCTGTGTGCGTGGAGAAACACCCGTGCCCCGTCCGTCCGTCTGTCTGCCCTGCTCCCTACCTGCCCCGTGTGGCAGGAGCAGAGTGGGCCTGTGGGCCCGTGTGCCCAGCAGGGGCCCGTGAGCCAGACGGGCACGCACGGCAGGGCCAGGCCAGGGAGCTTTCCACATCCGAGGGCTCCCTCCAACAAAGCCGTGTCTGTCCTGCTCCCACTATTCCTGCCTGTGCGGTTGGGGACCGGGGGGCCGGAGGAGCACAAAGGAGCCCAGACAATAGGGCGAGCGGGAGCGCTCCTCACACCCATGGCGGCGGGCGAGCGGGCTTTGTGTGCAGCCGGGCCTCCCTCGGCGGCGGGGGCAGGCGCTGCCGGCCGCCCCGCGCCGCTCCTTTGTTCGCTCGCTGCCTGCCAGGGGTGAGACAGGCAGGTGAGCGCCGCGCCGCGCAGGGGGCTGGCGGCGTGCGGCGGCGGCCGCATATTAATGCATTTCTGCAGCCTGTCGCTGGATGCTCGCTTTGATTCATGAGGCTCCTCCGTCGGATGCGGCCGGCAGGGAGAGCGAGCAGGGAGACAGCTATACAGCTATTGTCTGCCAAGCCCGCGGCCCTGCCGTGCTGCTCCGGCGGCTGCCACAGCCCCTTTTGGGGCTTCGCACCTTCGCCCCGCCGTCCTTCCCGCCCGGCGTGTCCGTCTGTCCAGGCCGGGGAGCGGTGGGACTGTCTGGTACCCCAGGCGTGTCCCTGCTGGGCTGGGGAGAAGGCAGGTGGGCAGCAGGCAGCTCTCCAAACACCTCCGAGTGCAAGGTGGGGTGTCCGGGCAGGGCTGCGTCCAAGGAGGGCTTGTGCAACTAAAACCACTTCCACCCAGTGCCTTAGTGACACCAGCAAAATAAAATACCCTTGGTGGCTTTTTTTTTTTTTTTTTTTTTTTAATGGCTGCTGTAGATGTCACGTTACACTTCATGACTGGCTATAATTTTCAAACAAAGCAAATAGGCAGCTGGTGGACAGGTATTAACCAGGCAGCAGTCAGCCTGTCTTGAAAAGGCTGATTCAGGTACAGCATTTGATAATGCTCATGTGGGAAGGGTGTGGATGATAATCCCAGAGAAGAAAACAAACTGGACAGAGTGCACTCCATCATGCTGACAAAGAACTGGATTGTACATGCTGGGGTGCAAATAGGATTGTTTGCATATTCAGCTGACTCGCTCTTCTCTTTTCCCCTTCCCTGAGCATAGGTGGTGCCTGACTTCCTTGGGGAGCTGTTTGAGTTGGGGGACAAATGTGTATGGGGGAGGGGGTAAAGGAGCATGTGGAGGAGAATGGGAGCAGAGAGGATGTTGATTTTAGGGGCTGCAATGGCTAGCTAGTGGGGAAAATGTCCAGGGACAGGGTTTATCGGACTGAATATAGGAAGCTACAGATATGCTAGTCTGACAGGCTTCCTTTTATATCCCTGACATGCAGCTTATCCCACTCTGAAATAGACATTAGCTTTCTAGAGCAAAATAAAGGTCCAAGGTCTGAATTTTTGTCCCCCTTTCTTTCTTTTTCTCAGCTGTCAAGGAATAAAGCTGAACTGAGGGGGAAAGGAGCATTTATTCCCAGTGGATAAAGAGAGAAAGGCTGAAATGAAGGATTTTCTCCAATGATAGCACTCCCTGAGCAGCAAACCCCACCTCTGAGTTTCCAGTAAATCTGTTGGGAGTACAAAGCAAACCAATCCAGAAACGTCAAGGCATATTTACTGTCCTATTAACCTGGTGCCCCATTCCCTCTCTGGCACACGCTGGCAGCACACAAAGGTGTGTCCCAGTGCTGTGTGCTGGGGAGGGAGCATGGCTGTGAGCCCAGCTGGGGCAAGGTGACCAAATGGCTCCCGACTCCTGCTCTGCAGCCATCACAGCATGGAAAAGGGGTGCTGGAGGTGAGCCTGTTCTGGGAACAGTGGTGCTTGGGGGCTGTGCCAGTCCTTTGTGCTGTCTGCTCTCAACAAGACAGAAATTTAATTGCAACAAGGAACTTGCACACACTTATCTGCAGCTGAAGCCAAAGCAGCTTCTGTTAGGGATCACCTAGATTTGGCTGCTGTCAAGTACTGCATGCAAGTAAGATGGATTTCCTGAATGCCATATTTTACTTGGTGACATATCTAAAACTTCTGGAAAGAGATTTTTAAAATAAGCTTGTCTTTCAGGTTTTTGCAGGTGTCTTTTTTACTTTTTCTTCCTTTTTTTTTCTTTTTTTTTTCTTCTTGTGAAGAGAATTGGGCAATCACAGAATTTTGGTGAAAGTTGCCTCCTATTCTCTTGCTTCATAGCCCATGGCCATCCTGAAGAATAAAGGAAATGCTGATAAATTTGTTATATTCCCCATCTAATGCTCCTCTCTGCTGTCTTCAGAGCATGTCCTACCCCTAGTTGCTTTGTTAACTTGTCTCTGCTTATAACACTTGGTACATAAAACACAACTGGGCGCTTTTCGCTCTGATTAAAATCATGCTGTGCAATAGGAAATACAAATTAGCTCTGGCCTTTGGGCTCCTGACAAGTTTCCAGCGCGGCTTTCAACACCACAGAGATTGTGTAACTCCATCTGTGTGTGCTCTGTGTGGTGACGTCTCCCCCTCCGTCATGAGCTGGGCTGGCTGCCACTCACCCAGGTTCAGCTGCTAATACTTCAAGCAGCTTTTAGAACTGAAGGAGGAAGAGATGTTGCCAGCAGCTTGGTGAAATGCAGAAACCAGCTTTTCCTTGCCAGAGGACTTTGTGGGAAGAGGTAAAAGGAGGAGGACTTCCTAGGTAATTCCCCTAGTCTTGATGTTTGTGCAAGAACCTCCCTTTTGAATGAATGACTGGGGAGCTCAGCACAGGAGAGCCAATGCTTCAGTACAAGATTAACCCCTGAAGGAAGAGCACAGTAGCCTCTTATCCAAACTGCAGCTTAAGTTTGTGTTGCCGTGAAGTGCACAGCACTTTCCTGCCTCCTCCAGGGACTCGAGCCAGGCATGCTGTGTTACATCATTTCAGTGTTGCTCACAGGAGGGCTGAGGCTCCAGCTATCGTGTCACATTTTCAACAGAAACCTTTTAAGTCTCGGCGACTTCCTGTGAGGATGCTGAAGCAAACAGTGCCCAGACCTGGGAGTGAACAAGTTGCAAATGACATCGTGGGTTTGAAATGCTGCGTGGGCACGGCGTGGGTGAATGTTCCCTGCACTGGGTGTTTTCTAAAGGTCTCTGAAGCATGAGGCATGACTGAATGACTTCTGTTTTCTTTAAATGATGAGTGGGAGAATTTTGAATCGTTGGTCTGCTTTTATTTTTGTTAAATGTGTGTGGGCTGACAACATGACTCAGTATTTTCTCTGCCGATGCAAAGATCACACTGCCAATTCTGGGTATATTTCAGACAGTTTCCTACGGAGAACTGGAACAGGTTTTCAGCCCAGAGCTTTGTTTTTCAGCAGCCTTAAGCCTATTGATGTGAAAATAAGTGATTTTAAAAATGAGTGTTTTGCCAAAATGTACATAAATACACTGAAGAAATGACCAAACATGGGGAAAGTCCCTCTACCCCCATGTTTTCCCAACAGTTTATCTGATTTTTTTCATGGCTATCAATGTCTGATTTTTCTTTCTGATTCTCCCTAGCCTGACTTGCTGCTGGGCCATCTCTTTGTCTGCTGGATATCATCTCTGGTATTTATTTGGCTGTCCATGTCCTGCTGGGTGACAGCCACCATCCTGTGACTGATGGTTGTGAGTTCTCCCCTCCTGCCAAGAGACAAGTAGACATATTTGTGGGTACCTGTATGTGGTTCAGCCAGAAGTACCAGAAAACTCCCCTTTCTCCCTTCTGGCAACCTCCCTGCCCTGCTCTCCTACTTTTTCCTCCTTTTATGCCATGTACAGTGTATGGCATGTACTCTGGGAGATACACAAAGCAAGGCATAGGCTTTGGATGCTTTTATTGTGCAACAATCAGTGCCCTCTTCTCCCATACCTTCTTCCCTACTAATGTGCAGTGTGCTGGTGATTATGTCTCTGGTAAGAAGAGGTTTCTCACTAAGACCCTCACCTGTAGTCACAAGTCAGCATTCTAGAGCTACCAATAAACCACTTTTCCCTGCTGATAGCAGCCCTCAGCCCTGTGGACCTTGCTGAGGGTCTGTGAATGGCTAGAGGATAACACACTATGGATGAAGGATGTGGCACAGCAAAGGTTGTCTGTGAAGATGACGTGCCTGTAGATTCATTCTGTAGAGCGTGCAGAGTGACATGAATTCCATACACTCTGCTTATTTGATTGTTAATTTCAACCACAGAATTCCCACACTCAGTCCCTAGCAATGGCCTAATGTGACCTGTACTTGGCACCATGACCCAAACCCCACTACGGTCCTGACTGCATACTGGCCCATCCAACAGTGAGCTGTACCTGACCCATTTATTCACAAGCATGCATTACACTACTAGGCAACTGTATCATCTTCCTATCATTCTAGTCCCTCGGTCCTAAGATTTTCTTCCTATTCCTGGCATTTTCTCTACCTTCCACTGTTCCACCCATGGCAATATTTCACCCCAAACTTAAGCCTGAGCGTGCCCATCACCCGTACAGACCTCACTGGAAGCCATTTGATGTGGTTGACTCAAGTACCTTTGCAGGCTTATCTCATAATGATAAGAAACATCAGGTAGCAGGCCTTATAATTTCTGCACAATCCTCACGTTATTCAGGAAGAATCCTACACTTAAAGCCCTTTTTACCCTACAGCCTGATTCCAGCCTTAAGGATAAACTATCAGCCAGCATCCCTTGAATCACAAGCAGAAGCATTGTGCCTTACCGAGCACCAGCACTCAGGCTTTCCCTGAAGAGCAAGCAGAGGTGGTGCTCTTTAGTCCTTGGTGCCCCAGTCTCTAACCCTGACTTCAGTGTCTGATGAAGATCCAATGCTCCTTACTCATAGTCCTGAACTCTGAGTGCCAGAGCTGCTCACCCCTGCCAGCCCCAGCCCCAGCCCCATACATGACTGTTTCTAACGTTCTTGCTGGAATTCAGGCATGGAGATGGAGGCAGTCACTGGGACTTGCTTGGTGTACAAGCTGTAAGTTGTGTTTTTCAGAGCTTGGACTTGATGGGGCAGAGCATGTTTTGGTGGATTTTAGGGTGGAAAGATTACATTTGGGCATGGCTTGAAGAACTAACTGGCTTGCTCAGCTGCTGAGGGGATGGTAGGCTGGGTACAAGACAGGGCATGGGGCAGTGTGACAGTATCTGTACATCAGCGAGCGAGCAGGCAGTCATGGTCTGTGTCACTGATCACTCTCCTTTCCTAAAACAAGCTTCATTGTTCCCACCTTCTTAATTCTCATTGCCCTTCCACTGGTTTTTCATCACTGTCTGTAGCCTTTTTCCTCCAGCCTTTGGATTTCCAGAGCTACCAGCTGCCCTAGAGCTGGTTGTTCATCTCTCCCCAGCTCTCTGTCATTGCTGCCTTGGCTGTTTCTGGCAGTCAGAGCTCAGCCAGAGGCCCATCATATGAACCCTATGCCGCCTACTAGAAGGTGGTCTGCACACTGGATTTCACATTGGTGTGTCTTGCTGGTTGGGAGACAAGAATGGAGACTGCTATGGCCTCAGGCATCTTCAGGTATCGTTGTGTAGCTGTGAATATTGAGCTTGCTTCTGAAGTTTTTTTTAGTACTGGCCTTTAAACTTGCTTCATTTAATTTTTTACATTGAAGGTAGGTATTGCATTTTTTGTTTCTCAACTGTGTTTAGTAAGATTGTCATAGAAAAGCTCTCCAAGGTTCTGGAAAGAATACTTATTAAAAGGGGGTTTGTAATTGTTATGGTGTGTGGTCCTCAGCTTTCCTGAACTTTTGCTATGTTACATTCAAGCATAGTCTACTGTTTGTGAAAGACAGCTTGGAAAGAGAAAAGCTGACAGCAGGTCAGACAGAGGGAGATGGAGCTGGTTTATGCCACTTTTTTTGCAACAGATGAAGCTGGCATTCCCTGCCTGATTAAGGTGCAGCAGACTGAATCACTAACACACCTTGTTCTGAAATAAATCACAGTGACAAAACGACATTGCTTGTGGCAGTAGGCAAAGTGCTTATTAAACCGCGAGCGGTACTTTGCATGCTTAAGAGCACAACTTCTCTTTTTCAAAAAACAAACAAACAAACTTTTTTTTTTTTCCCCATAATCAGTGCCAGTGAAGGGCAGATCCCCACAAGGTGCTGAGTCCAGCCTGCTTCCTCATTCTTCGCACTCTCACTGATGGGTTGCTTTCTCCTGTGTCAAGTGAAAACTTCCTCATCCAGCCCGGTAGCGCTGGACTCGCCCTGAGCCCGGCCAGGTCTCCTCCCCTTGCAGTGCAGCCTCAGCCCATCTCCCCCAGGGATACCCACCCCATTCCCACCTGCCTTACCAAGGGGGGGCTCGGCGGGTTTGTCCTTTGCAGACACTTCCCGACACACAACACGTCTGCATTTTTATGGCCAGTTTGGATAAAGACATGACTCCAGCTGGTAACTGCAGCTTCCAGATAAGACTGACCCCGTGACAATGTAAGAAACACCCAACTAAGGAGCAAGGAGCTGTCCATTTTCAGGCTCCAGGGTGGCTACACACACCAACACTTTGTTGCACAAACACAGAGAAACCGCTCTAACTGGAACAGTTCTCTTGGTAGTCGTTACCTTATTTGTAATTGATTCTGCAAGAGTTTGCCGGCCCTATCATTAGAAAGCAACTTCCTGCATGTGTCTTTGAATCAGATTAATAAAGGGAAACAATATTTTTAATGACAGAGCCTCTTGGTATGTATTATTTCCTGAAACTCTGAAATCGTCATTTTTTGCCTTACTGGTGTTTCTTGCCCCTAATAAATTTTAGATCAGCTTTTTAGAAGACTGAGGGTCTATGGCCCCATTTTGAGTTGCTGAAATACCGAGGTGTGTTGGAAAGCTAAAGAGTATTCAAACATCCACAAACATCCTGCAGGTCAGAACCTTGTGCACTTTCTAAATAGATCAGGGTTTTGTTCCAGAATCTGGTATTTCTTGAAGATATCCTCTACACTTCCTTTATTTCTCTGTGTCATTCTCCATGCAGTCACAGAGCCTGCGTGCTGGATTTATTTGTTTTACATTTCTTTGCTGTCCATTTTGCTGCCAAATCATCATCTCGTGTTGCTTGTCTTATATAAATGTTAACATTAGCAAGCTTCACAATAACAGTCTGGAAAGGAAACATTTACTTCTGAGCTTCCCTCTGCCAAACAAACCTACAGCGTTTGCTTTTTTGTGGCTACTAGTGGTTAAGGCCATGGGTTGTAAAATTATAATGCTGTAGGCAGTGTCTATTACAGTTATGATCCCTATAACATGCTCTTGGACATATTTATTGTTTCGCTTTTAAATTGTTACATTCAGTGTGGAGGACATGGCTCTCCATTCCCTCATACAATATAATCTCCATAGGTCCTTGAAAGGCTGCAGGAAAAAAAAAAAAACAACAACTCTGTTTTAAAATCTACTTTTTTTGTTCTCGATGACACATAATGAAAGCATCAGTGTTACTTTTGTGTCCTGAAAGAAAGGGTGACGGCATGGAACGGAACAGCACATGATGCGCACGTAGGCAGCGAGCTTGACAAGAAATAAACCATTGCCACCCCCGGCTGGGCAGCGTGGAAGCGCCGGCTCCTCAGGGGGGCGTCCGGACGGGCCGGGGCAGCACCGGGCAGGGCAGGGCAGGGCAGAGCAGAGCAGGGCAGTCCGCCCCGGCCGCCGCTCTCGTTACATAACGGGGGGACGAAGGGGGGGGGGGGGCGGCGCGCGCCGCGTCCCGCGCCCGCCTCCCCCGTGTCCTCGCGGCACCCCCGCCCCGCCCCTCCCCGCGTGACACCGCGAGGGGGGGGGGGGGGCGGGTCCCAGCGCGTGCCTCCCCGCGGCCCGCCTCCCGGGAGGGGCGGCACGTGCGCGTCCCGCCCCGCCCCGCGCGGTCCACGGGGAAAATCGCCCTTTCCCCTCCCGGGCCGCCCGCGCACGCTCAGTCCCCGCCGCTTCGGGCGGCGCGGGGCGGGGCGCGGGCCGTTCGGCGGGGCGCAGGCGCGGCGGGGACGGTCGCCGGGCGGGGCGGCCGGGGCGGTGCTTCCCCCCCACCCCCCTCCCATCGCCGTCCCCGTCCTCCTCCTCCTCCCGCCTCCACGGGGGCCGGGTGACGCACGTGCGCGCGCCCCCGCGCGCTGTTGTCCGCTCGCTCCCGTGCCGCCCGCCCCGTGCGCGTGCCAGCCGGCGGCGGGGGGCGCGCGCGGCGTGCGGGGCCGGCACGCGCGCTGTTGTTATTGGCGGCGCCGCCGCGGCCGCGGCGGAGGGAGCGGGGCGGGGGGGGAACGGGACGGGACGGGGAGGAGCGGAGCGGGGCGGGCGGCTCAGTCAGGGAGTTCTTTAAAGATGGCCGGAGCGACGGCCGCTGCCGCGACCCCCGTGTACTGCGTGTGCCGCGAACCCTACGACGTGAGCCGCTTCATGATCGAGTGCGACATCTGCAAGGACTGGTTCCACGGCAGGTAAGGCGCCGGGAGCCGCGCCGGGGCCGGGCGGCGCGGCGGGGCAGCCGCCGGGCGGCACCGGGCACAGGCGGTGGCATTCGCCTTCCCCCCTCCCGCCGGGGGGGACAATGGCTGCGCGGCGGCAGCACGGGGGGAGCGGCGGGCGCTCGCCCGGTCCGGCTCCCCCCCCCGCTCGCCGCGGGGACAGTGCCGGCGCCGGCGACCGTCCCCGGGCACATGGGTCCGTGGCTGTGAGGGGGCGGACGGGCCGGGCCAGGCGCGGGGGGGGGGGCTGGTTACGAAAGAGCAACAGATGCGGGGCTGGCGGGGCCGGGGCCACCCCGAAGTTGTGCCGACTCTGCGGAGGCGTCGCGTGTCCCCCCGCGCCCTCGGGGGGTCTCTCCCGGGACAGGGCGGTCTCCCGGCGGAGAAGTGCGGACACCGGGGTTGTCCCCGGCCGGGTGCGAGCTCCGGGCTGCCCGTGCGTTTTGTCCGGGGGGCGGCGGAGGAGGAGAAAGAGGGTCGCCCCGCGCCTCTCGCCGCTTTGACGTTTCCAGCCCGGTCCCGAGCGGCCGCCGCCGCCGCGCGTGTGTTTTGCGAGCCGAGCGTGTGAATAATAAAAGGCCCGTCGGCAGCCGCTGCGAGCGGGAGAAAGCGGCGGCGGCGGAGGGGATTCACGGGCAGTTAAACAAAGGAGCAAGTTGGGGGCCGGTGGCGGCGGCGGCTCGGCCGGGCCGGGGCTGCGGGGCCGCTCGGTGCCGCCCCCGCCGTGCGGGGAGCGCCGGGGAGCGCGCGGCGCCCGTGATTGACAGCCCGGCGTTTAAATACCCCGAGCGGCAACAACAACAGCGGCGGCTGCCCGCGCCGCGCCCCCTGCCGGCCAGGGCCCGCAGCGCCGCCCCCCGAGCCTGCCCCCGGGCCCGGCGCTCGCAGCGCCCCAGCGGGGGCCGTGCGCGGGGTTGTAGTTGTTTGGGTTTGTTTTCCCTTCGTTTATTTTCCTGTTTCTGCCCCTCAATCGGCAAAAGACAAACGCTGACCGAAAGTAGGTTGCGTATTTAGGTGTTACTTAACAGTAATTGTTACACACGGGTGTTTTGTTGCCACGTTTGAGGAGGAAAGGAAGGCTCGCAGCGTTTCAGATGTTTACTTGTTTGATTTGTTCTTTGTACACGGGCTTCTCCCGGCTCGAACCGCAGTATAATAGAAAGTGTGAAAAGGGCTTTGTAAACTATAAAAACTGGCAAAACAGGATTGTTGTACCTTAAAAACAACCTCTCATTAATATTTTTAACTAGACTGCTACTACTCTTGCCAGTACTGTTGTTTAGAGAGAGACACACAGCAGCTTAATAGAAGTTTGTCAGAACTCGGTCACTGTCTGCAGTGAAGGTGCAGGCATTGCCTGAAGTGCTTGTTACAGGTTCTTTCTCTTCCAAGTCTTCTGCATTTGTGTAGTTGCTCTTTCAGAATGTCCTGGCAATTGCTCAGGTTCCATGCAGGCCTTAAATGCCAGTCTTGTGCATCAGTATTGCTGGGGTATGGGTGAACTAAATTTCTGAAATCGTTATCGGGAGGAAAGCATTGCCTGATCTAAAGGTGGGACAGACCACTTGGTTGCTTTCTTGGATCTTGATGTGCAAAAAGCTCCCCACAGGCTCCTGTGATTGAGCTCTGTCACGTAATAGTAGAAGAAGCCTGTTAGCACTGAACTGCCTTGATAGTCTGAAATCCTAAGAGTGGAAATTAAGCAAGCAGGCCAGCAAGAGCTGGCAACAGCCATGCTGCTTTGGGATTTGGTTGCATGCTCACCCAGTCTCATGACTAAGGGACAGGTTTTTGGGAGACTCCTTTCCTCCTGCCAGCTGTGCTCTGCTCTGGGAGTGCCTTTCCCCTTGCTGTAAGAGTGTATGAAGACAGTTACATAGCTTGTGTAAGAAAACACACACTCTCAGATCTTGAAGTTTTTGGTGAACTTCTTAGTTTCATGTATTCTTGATTTTATTTCTTTTTAAATTTTTTCCCCCGGCCTGTGGAATGGGACTGATGTGTGTTCTGTCTTAAGAAACATATAAACCCAGGCTGTGGTGTGCTAGCATGATGCCTAGCGCATGTTATTGGATTATGGACTCTTTGCTGCCTTCCTGTGTATAGTGAAGAGAATGCCCGAAGAGTACAGTGGAGGCTGTACAAAGTCTGTTCTGGCAGATTGTTATTTAGTCCCTTCAAATTTTTATGTGATTTTTTTTTTCCCCTGTGTGTTCTTCTTGCACTCTCTGTCTTCAAATGATTTGTACTTTGGTTTGCTATTATCAATATATTAGTATTGTGAAATACGCGTTTTATTGCTTTTGGCAAATATATATTGGACGTGCTAAAGCAGATGTTTTGTTATGCCGGGCAAGGCTGTGAACCTGCTTTGTGGGTTTCAGTTACTCTCCGAGTGGGCCTAACATCCAGCCACAGTCTGGTGTAATTACCCCTTGTGAACAAAAGAGCGTAACACGGGTGCCTGAGCGCTGTTTGAGGCTTCGTCGCCTTCCTGAATGGCTTGTGAGAGTGCAGAGACTACAGAGCTTTAGATGTGACAAACTGTCAAAGCTTTCAGACGTGCTAATCCATTTATATTTTAGACAATTTTTGTGTTTTCCCCATCATTTTATCTGCTTTAAATGAAAATGTCACATTAAGCTGATTCCCGCTTTCTGACTTGTCTAGAATATACTGCAGCTAGAATGAAGCATAAGAAGTCCTTTTTGCTGCTCTGTGTGTTCAGCTTTTCTTGGATCTGTTCCGTATCTCTTGAAACCTCTTTAATTTCTTGGTTTCATCTTCAAATGATATGTATCATTCTGTGATACTTCTTGTGCTGTCTCTGCCTTCCTTCGTTTTTTGATGCTTTGCCTCAGTTATTAGGTTAACAACATGCTGTCATCTTGTTTGTGTTTTTTTGCTGTGATATATTCTGTGCCAAAGTTACATATCTTTTTTTAAACTGCTCTTGCAGTCAGCTCTGTTCTTGAAATATATTTGTGAAGTTTGCACAAATCCTGTTGAAATTTTTGTGCTTTTTTCTGTCCATGATACATGTACTCAACTAGATTTATATGCCTTGCATAGATGTGACTTACTCCTGTAGACTAGATCTCAGGTCAGAACAAACTGGAGTTTAAACCTATAATTCAGTTTTTGTCTGCACAGCGTAAGGTTGTCTGTGATATTTCAGAAGTAA